GGGACACGTCCTCGCGCTCCTCCCCCCCCCCTCCCCCCCGTCCTTCTTCACAACACTCGGTTTATTTCAGCCTTACGTGCTTCATGTATGTGCCCTAGGGCCTTTCTTCTCTCCTTGCCTCTCGCACGCTTATGAATGGAATGACTCTTATATCGTCGAGGTCTCGCTAGTCATATGAGGTTATTATGCCACGTTAACGCCTTACTCCGAAAATAACCTATGGCTTTGACCATTCTACGATATTTCTTAATTGCCATAAATAAGAGCTTGGCTATTGTGTCCTTCGGAATAAAGGGGAAAACTGAAAATTCTACGCCCAAAGATATTATCCTTTTTTTTTCATCTCCCAGTTGCTCTCTCTCTCTCTCTCTCTCTCTCTCTCTCTCTCTCTCTCTCTCCATCACCATCTGGTAAACGCGCTCTTTATTTCAATCTATCTCTCGTTTAAAGAGATACTCCCATGTCTAGCTAGCTAGCTATTGTGATAATTTTATATTTATCGTTACGATTAGGAGGTCGTTACGTGAAATTGAAAATAAATACTTTAATAATATCTTTTCATTCCCATGTAACAGAATCTAAATTTTAAAAAACAATATACATTTTGAATAGATATATATATATATATATATATATATATATATTTTATTTTTTTTAATTTATATTTTTTATAAGTTAAATTGATCATTCGGTAAAATGAGTATAGCCGATATATTATGAGTATAATAATACAATGATTCTTTTATACGAAACTTCGACGACGTATTTTTTCAAAACGACTATTTCAATTAATTGAATTTATTTCCCATTAATATACACTCATCTTGTCTACAAGTTAACTCTTTTGAATCATTGTTACATAAGTAGTCGTAAAATTAATTACACTATAAGGAACATTGGGCTAACGCGTCCTTATATTAATAGTGGATATTAAAGTAACTTATTCTCAAAGTAGTAAAATAAAAATTCACTAATTTCCCTTCAGTAACTGAAAATTTTTTCAACGTTACGTTGTTTTATTATTTTTAAATTCTGATTTAATGTACGTACAATTGAAAAACAAATAAATATCCATAAATTAAGACTCAATATATATATATATATATATATATATATTGTAATTAAAATAATGCACAACATCTTCAACATTAAGAATATGTTAATAACTAAATATATTTCACCTTCGGCTTTTTATTTGTCTAATAGTAATTTACATAGAAATAAAATAATAAGAAAGTTGGCTTTTTTAATTTTACTAGAATAATAAAAGACTGTATAAACTTATTAATAGTTTTATTATTTATTATTTAAAATGAAGTTTATTAGATTAAGAATAAGAATTTATTTATACAAAATTATGTATTTTAATTTAACAGTTTTAACAGATAAGAACTATTTTAAACAATATTGTTAATAAAAATTATTAGTATCATTAATAGTCACATTATTAGTAAAAGTTATGAAAATATGACAACTAATAGACATCGGCTAAATAATAGAAATATATTAAAGGAATAATGAACATAAATTAAGAAATTATTTTAATACATACAACATATTGTACGACATTCATTAACTTAATTATGAAATTTGTATATATGTTGTATTATAAATTATATATATATATATATATATATATATATATAAAATATATAAAATATATATATATATTTTTTTTAGTTCATTATGCAAAGTACACATGTAATAGAAATTAAATTTTATAATAATAAAAAAAAAATTTTTTTCATTTAAAAAAAAATGCTAATTCAATGAATGATATATACAAACGTAGGAAATATAATAGAAACGTCTAAAAGTTGACATGGGCTATTCAAACTTTATAATTCACACAATTTTTCCAATGCAATTAAATATTTGAAAGATAAACGAGCGTTTCAAAATTGAAGGTAATAAAAAAAAACGAAAAAAA